TGTATCAATAGTTATGGTGTTGTGAAGCGCTGCCATTTGTGAGCAATGAAACTTAGCTTGTTTTCAAGCATTACAAAACAAATTATTCAGCAGAGCTATCACTTTTCAGCCAAACTTCTCCTAGCCAGGGTTAATATTCGCACTCTTGTTACCTATATTTATTAACCACACTCTCATATCAGCCTATATTGAATACAATAATCCACAGTAAAACATATTTGCTCTCCTAAATGACTGCAGACACCAGTAGCCAAACTAGCAAACTTATTACACTAACATTTATGAGTAGATCCACTCATTATAGCACGTACCACAGAAAAGAAATACAGAGATATCCAATAAAATCAAACCTAATTCATTCAGATTCACTACAACCTAATTAATATCCTGTGTTGACTGAGCACACAACTATTCCTGGCTATAAATGTAGGCATTATACATGCCCATGTGCATTGAGGGAATATAGAGTGGGTGGTATTGGAGAACTTTCACCTCTCAGCTTGTCAATAAGCACTCCTTGCAAAGCACCAGATGATTGTTTTGTTGAAGAAAGGTGCTCAATAGCTTGGAAAGTAAGGATCACATCATGCTTCAACTTCAAATCACCTGTTCATACCTGATGCAGTACCATGAACTTATTCAGAACAGCAGACGAAAATGTGTGATCAAATGTCAAGACATCAACCACATAAACCAGTCATTTGTCCCATTGTAGTCGTTTAAGCACAAGCTCTGCTAACCTCTCAAAAGTGGCGAGAGCTTTACACAAGTCAATTGATATGACTCAGAATTCGTACAGACTAACTCAATTTGCTAGTATCTGAAGACCAGGTCTAAAGTGTTGAACCAACGAGCACCTTTTGACATGTCCAAATATTTGTCTTTCTGGTGTAATGGGAAGCCATCAACATGTGTCATGGTGTTCACTCTTCTGAAATCAACATAAAACCTCCACAACTTGTCCTTCTATTTAGCAATTGCTACTATAAATGACCACACACTCTATTTAGGCAATATGTTCCCATCCTTTAACATCTAATGCATCTCAGTATTGTATATATATCTTTGGTACCCCAGGGAAACCGGCTTTGTAGTTGTTTAATTTGATGGGCATCTCCCACATCTATGTAATGGAAAGTGATTTCTGTTTGATCCAATTGGCTGTCTGCTCCCCAAAACACATTAACATATTTAATCAATAGATCAATAAGTACTACTTATGATGTATAATTCTTCACAACAATCAAAAGTACCTCAGCGTTTCGAATAATACGTAGAATGGCTGAGATTGATGGTGGTTGATGCACACTAATTTGCTCAATAATAACTCAGAAAGACAGCACATCAGCAGAAGAGGTGCTTATATTGGATACTGAAAGAGTGGTGTAGTTATGGAATGTTCCAGTGGAATTTAAGTAACTTGAATATGGCTGGAACGGCCCATACCTGATACGCCAACAAATTAGTCACTCGCTACTAAGCTGCATCCATACATCATAGACAAGCCTTTGGAGCACTGGCTTGACCAGGGGTTTAAAGATAAAAAATGATGAGTCACAAGAGAATGAGGAAACTTTCTCGAATCGTTCCTGATGAGGGAGAGGAAGTCGCAGAGACTTATCTGCCAGTTTTGATTAACCAAATGGGGAGTTGCTGGAGACTGAGGTGACTAATAGTTCTAACTGATAGATGAAATGTCAAAGTCGATATCCTAATTGATATAGGTGAGACTGATGAACAATGGCCTGGACGAGCATTGTGTAGAACACCTGATTATTGAAAGGAAGTGGCATTCTCTGCTTCAAATCTATCAAGTGGGGCACACTGTACTATATGAACTACATTGTGTGATTTTCACTTGATTAAAAGCTAAAAATTCAAGAAACTGAAAGATTGTTGACTGTAAGGGTGATACAGCCTTTATTTTCAAGTCAACACGTAATGACATGAAACGTCATGTATATATTATATTGTGCTATCACCACTCATGTAAAAGTTAAGATAGTCGTTGGTTGGAACAAACAAAGACTGAAAGGAAATATCACTCCTTGTTTACTGAACCATCGGGTAGTAATGTCCAGCAGAATGTATGAACTACATTTTGTGACTGCTACTCAATCATTGAAAGTTAGGACAATCACTGATCTACATGATCATAAACTGGAATGAAGTTGAGTTTCTTGCTTTTCAAGCTATCAAATGGTATTGAGACGCAATGTATGTGCTACATTGTAGAATTATCACTTGATTATTGACAATTAGGACGATCATGTGATGAAAGTTAGTGCTTGAAAGAATGTTGCAAATACTTACTTTCCAAGCCAATGAGTGAATTATCTTATGTCAAATGTCGTGTGATGTTTCGAGAAAATCACTTCAACAATCTAGCTGAGTGCTGAGAACACTGTGGAGAATGCCACCTTGTACTCTTTAAGTTTTAATCGATCTTCATGTGAAAAATTAGGATCTACCATCTGCAAGGGAATCCAGCTTTCTCTGAGCGTGTATTGGAATACAATAGTAGCAGCACGAATTTTAATGTAAATGTGTTGAATTTGGTGGTCCCTGGATGCACTTTCATCACTACCAAGCATAGCTTTGGGAGGTAACCCAAATACTACGAAAGTGGTTCATGTGGTATGTAAACTACTAAACTGATTGATGAAACATAATGATAACATGCATACATATGATAATAAAGATATGTAAATAAATACACCTGTGTGGACAGCATGCTGTAGGAAAATTACACAAAGTCCTTCATAAATATTTTTAAGCATATTATCACAACTGAAACAATCACACAAAGAGTGTACCATTAAACAAGAAAAAATAAATGAGGGCATGGCGACAAATGATTTGCTTTGATGGATATAAGACAACCATAATAATTGACGTAAAAGGTATTATTACAAAATTTAGTGTATCTGTTTTGTTTTTTTTTTCATTAATAAGAGAGTGTTTCAATTTTGATGTTCAGTATGTAGTAAACTTTTCGTGGAATAGATAAAAGTAACAAAGAGGCTCACGCTACTGCTAGAGAGAGAACCCACAGTCTTACATGGGGTTTTTAAAGAATGCAGTTTTATCTGGTAGTTGTAACACAATTTTTCTGTTCTTGCTCAGAAACATATTGTAGAAAATATTTCAAGTTGATCAAAATCAGTATTTTATTTTGTTGTAACAGAAATGTTTTATGTCATGCAGAATGATATATTTTAGCAAGCAAACCGTTTTACTGAATATTTTCCCAATGTTGTTTTATTACAAATACAGGTTTCAATTATGAAGTCTGCAAGCTGTAAGTGTAATTAGGGGAGGAGGAATGTACCACCCACATAGTAAAATATTTTAATTTGAACGATAAATGTTACACATTTGTATCTGGAAGAAAATCCCTAAGGAAAACAATGAAAACATTGGAAAAGGCTAACAATTAAAAGTGAGGTTAGTACCGCCTATCTCAATTGCTTAGGAACCTATTGCATCCTCGACCACCATTTCTTTCTATTGGAATTGAGTGCTGTTTGCATGACAACCAGACACTGGGTGAGAAATCATGCCAGGTTGGAGGCATAGAATGTGTTTTCCTATTGTTTTATTTTATTGGAAACACAAAGAAATCCAAGAATCATGAAATTCTTAGGCTCTCTGGACACACATTCTACAGGTGAGGTTGGGCAAGAGTACACATTAAGCGTGTTGCTTGACCAGTAAATGATGTCAGAGTTTGTGGTTTTAAAAACTTGTTTCAACCTTCTTTAACATATGCACTCAACTGAGCCTTTGGCCAAATACAATTCAACCAACCTTGCATTTGAATTTGGACTTTCAGTATTCTACCATGGATTATTCCTCTACCTATGAAGCATATACACTGGACTATCCTCTACAGAAAGGGGCATGAAGTTATTGCAGACACTAAGAGTGTTGGACTAACATTTACCATTAGCAAGCCCATGAATGAATACACATTTAGTTCCAAAGCAGTTAGCATAAACACGTAGTCCAGAAAACCACAGAGGTTTCCTTGTTCTACTTGCTTTATTTTTTGTTCTCTATATTAGATAATATCTATTCTGCATGAATGGAATAATCTGTGATGATTGTAATATTCTTTGTCGACCGAATGGAGATTGTCTCTGTATGTTACATCTAACCAATGCTGTAAAATAACAAGGGCCAAGAGGTGATTTTGTCTAAATAACAAAGAAACCAAGTTTACTTGTTAAGTTTTTAAGTACACTTTCTTCTACACTACAGTTCTACTAGGAGATCGTCAAATAAAAACACTATTTGGAGATCAATCGCAAGAATGTGAAAGCTGTGGGACTAAACACAGCCTAGTAAAAGTATTGCTTTCTTTTATTTATTGTAGATATAATGATGTTTATTTCATCACACTTGACGAGTCTCCTTATTTCACATAAACTAATAAACTTAATCAAGTTGTTAAATACAGAACTCCACATATTTCCTGGTTGACTCTGCTGTTATTAGACGGGCCTGTCTGATACTTGTAGAGAATTAAATTGAATCAGAAAAGACCACATACGCAAGTGTGAACGGTTTTAAATTAATTCTTTATTCACGCGTGGAAATACACTACCAGGAAATGAGGAATTAATGACACTGTGAAGTATGAAACATTACCTCGCTCAAGTATTATATACCTCTCGAGCTCAATGTTTTAAAATAGGTATGAAATGTACTAGAATGTACTTTTGGTCTCTTTGAGGCATTTAAAGTTAAATTTTTAACAAAATATTAATTTTTTAGTTGTTTGTATCTACAAACATTTTGCCGTTCACAATTAAACTGTCTCAAATATAATACAGAGGCATATAAATTCGTATATTCGTTAAGCGGAACATAAAAAACAAAGAGAAACTAATTATCGTACAAAAAACATCTGCTATTTTCTATTATTAAAAAAATAATGTTATTATCATAGATAGCGTTTTGTAACTAAAAGACTTGCTACCAAGAGTATAAGTTATATACTTCGCAGTTGTTCAACGCGGGAAGTTGCGTACGTATAATATGCGAAAAAAAAAGGATGGCTTGAAAGAAATTGTTGTTTAGGTGAGTTAAGAAATTTAGTATTGTTATGTTGTAATGAAATAGATGTTATGTGTTTGACGTATTAAGATGAAATTGTGTTAAAATCGTTGTAAAAATTCACACCCATGGAGGCGCATATCGGTCCAGTGTACAGTGCCAGTGATGGGCATGGTTGGCCGTGTCAGAAACGAGAATCATGGCGTCGAAACTCGTACAAATCGTATTGCCTTGCCATTGTGTTGAACTTGAAGCTCTGTGTACTGTTACGGTATTCGATAGTGTGTTGTAGAGATGCGTGTAAATACTTTCCTAGCTGAACAGATAATTTGCTCAGGACTAGGGGAGAACAAATCAAATGTTAGTAGTATTCACTCTTTAGTAATGTAACACTACTACTACTAACATTAGTAATAGTATTACTAGTAGTAACACTAACAGTAAAGTACTTACTACTGCTAGGTTGACACTAAGTATCACTACTAGTAGTAAATAGTATTATTATTAGGTAAATTCACGTTGGAGGTGCAAATGAGGTTAGTAAAAAATCATGGGCCACTAATGGAACAGATGATTAGTAATGTAATTTTAGCTATTGCTGATTGTAATGTAAATGTGACCAACAATTTAATGAAGAGTGAAGGAGATCATAATGGTTGTAACACAGTGTAAACTACATCAAGTTACTTGATAAGTTGATATATAACTTATAAATGCAGTATTATGGATATTGAAAATTGCAAGTGGACCATAACTTCATAAAGATAAATGTAATTAACAACCCCATTAAAATAGTTCTATGAGCATATTTAACTAACCAAGTGAAGGACAAAGGAAACATGAAGTTGGTCACCAAAAGGACCAAAAAAGTTTGTGTATTAAGATATTAAAAATGGATGCTGATGTTTCATTGTAAAACATATTCATCATTTTGTCTGAGCTGTTATCTTCTGTAGTTACTAAGTTAGATTTAAATAAAAATTGCTAGTAAATAAATGTGCCATTAATTTAGAATTTCTATAGTGTATTACAGCCTTGTAATAAGTCAAAAATGTAATACAATAATTCTTAAACAGAAGCATTAACATATTTCAATGTTGTTTCTGTATTTGGAATAGCATATTATTGAATGATGCTGATGATAGAAAGGTTATTTCATATGGATAGGTTAAGATCTATTTTCTTCTGTAAATAAACAAATGGTGATCTTATTGAAGTTTATAAGATTACTGATGGGATTGATAGGATAAAGGCCTCTGATTCCTTTGTGTTGCATTTTGATGAAAAAAGGATGAAAGGACACAAACTTGAGATTTGTAAAAAGACAAGCCATATATCAGTAAATAGAGTTTATTTTTTTTAACAGGATGATTGACTAAAGAAATAAATTGGCATCAGCAGTAGTGGAGGCCAGCAACATACAAGAGCTTAATAGGGGAATTGATGGTTTCATGAAAAATAAAGGGTGGGTTTGAATTTTTACTCTTCTCAAGGCTGTATGTGTAGTGACAGCCTTGAAGAACTAAATTGTCCTTTGTTATATCTATGTTGTGATATAATAGTTATTCATCAAGCAAATTATGGTATTGTCACTTATTTGGTCAACATGGAAATTTCCTTGTATGAAATTCAAGATGTTGCTGAAATGGCTTTTACAGAAATAATAAATGTTTTAAGTATTGCATATCACATAATTAAGTTCAATTATTATGTAACAAGAACTCTATTCTTTCTATCAAAAATTCTATGCCTTTGTTGATACTCTTTTATTTTCAAATATAACTAAAGAACAATCCTGTGCAGATTGGTAGAATTTTAAGTATCTTTACTATAATTATCCATTAGACATAGTTATGTTACATAGCTGATGCAATCTGATAGATTTTTGAAGTCAGAAGTGAGTTGAAAACACTTTACAAAAGCAGTTTACTGCTGTGCTGTTATTTGAAATTTCAGTAATCGAAGTTTATTGAAGCCCATTTGAGTTTATACTTGTTCACAATATATTTGAAATAACACGTTTTAATTAATCTGTATACTAATTTAAATATTGTAAGAACTTTTGAATTTTATCCCAGTTGTAAACTAATACATTAATTTCATTGATAAATATCTTTTTTAAAAGATACATTTTTGACAGCTACCATGCTACCATTGTTAGTTCACCATACCTTAGAATTGTAGCACTTTGAGCAAAAAACAAATTTCTGTCTTTGTTTTTGTCATTGTAATTTCAGAAAAGAAATTTTATTTACTGTGTTCCTTTCATATTAATTTCCCTTATTAGAGGTTTAAATATGATTGGGATCACTTTAACCTCTTTGTTTAATGTTTTTAAACAAGTAAATCAGAGTTTCTTTTGTCAAATTTATTTTCACTACAGGGAAAGCAACATGTATCAAAACATTTCTAAAGTAACAATTATTTTAAAATTTATTTAACTGATTGTATTTTGTCACTGTTTTTTTAACTGGTATTATAAACATGTCACTCAGTACTTTCTTTTTTGCTTGTAAATGAGCTCCCTGCTTCATAAAATGTTAAAACAGTAAAGACAGGTGCAGGTAGTAAGTGTATGAAATAAGTAGAGATTGTTGATATTGTTTAGTCTTGAAAGAATAAATGCAATTGAAAAAGAATATATATAATTAATTTAAGTTATGATACTTAACATGCATACTTGAAACGTAAGGTACAGACAACAAGGGACCTCCCTGCATACGCAACCTTGAGGGAAAGTTGCTTAAACCCTTCTCTTTAATTTCAGAAAATCAAATTCTCCTTTAAACTCTTATAAAGTGCCAGCCTTTACTACTGCCAATAGCAACTCATTCTGTAAGCCAATCACCCTGTTAGAGAAATATACATGGCTTAACTGGAACCTAGCTTTTTTTTTCAAAGTCTAACTTTTATCTTCTTGTCTTCAGAATATAGCACAAAAAAGTCAGAGACCTTTATCCTGTCAATATCCAGATAAGATAACCTCTTATCCTTTTCTCAAGAGAAAATAAGTTCAGTGGTCTTAACCTTTCCCAATAAGATAACCCTTCCCTCAGAACCATCCTAGTAGCTCTCCTTTAAATTAGATAAGGAATTAAAACTGTACATGATATTCCAAGTGATTTACATAATGAAATAATTGCCTCTTTTCACTTGTAATCAACATGTTGATATTAAATAAGTTATCCAAATTAGGGTAAACCAAATACATTACTATGCATTTACTATAATAAAGGTAATTTGCTAAATATTTGTCCAAATAACTAACTCATCCAAGTCATTCTGCAGTTCCTCAATAAAGATAGAAATGCCTGAGTTTAATGTCATCTGTAAATTGTCTATTTATGAATTATGACCCTATCATTATTATTAATGGAAATAAATGACCCCTGGGGCACTGCATTAGTAACAGTACAGTTGCTCCTGTCTACTTATCCTCATCCAACAAAACTACATGCAAATGGCCACACACTTGTTTTTTTTTATGAAAAGGCCTGAATGTCAGGCAATTCATTATACAAACTTATAATTCTAATGAGAAAAATATTCTGCCAAAAAATTCATCAGTGGGTCTATATGTTACAGAATGAGTGTTTGATGTCTATGTTTTAAGCTATAAACAGAGCTACATTCATTTCACTTTTGACCAATCAGAAGACCACTAGTGTGGTATTACACTGCATTCATATTGAGTCTTAACATTTTTTCTTTATTGAATTGACAAACTCACCTTCAAGTTGACAACTGAGAAGCCAGCCACAAAGATTTTGGCCACATATACAACTAATTTCACATTGCCCTGTGTTCTTTATGGGTCATTATTGCAAGTCTATGCATAAAGTAAATAAAGGATAAGAACATTTTCATGTGAATTACATTACTGAAAAGCTGTAAAATACAAACGTAATTACTTTACTAATATAACCCAAGGGAACTTCCGTACTGTTTCTTACAGCATTAATGTCAATGTGCTAGTAATGCGCCCACCCATGACATTCTGGGTTGAGCACAGTTAAGTCTGTCTAATGTACCACATCCATGCAGATTACTGAAGATTTTGCTTTGGAAACTTAAAAAATTTTGTAGAATTGGTATGTGGAAGTAACTAGCAAAACAGTACTAACACAATCCTATTCCATCAGTTAAATATAATTATTCATCCTTTGTAATACTTTTTAATGTGAAGAGATGTTTCAAAAGTGACCTCCAAAATTCCAACCATGTCCCCTTAATTTGCATACAGGGGGCAACAGGTCCCTTAACTTTATGGTTATGGGGTTGAACCAATTTGACTACATCTCATGTGGAGAATGATACACAGTTCAACGATACTTCCAACAACTCTGAACTTTCTTAATATATCTTCACAACAATTGGTAAGATTTTGTTAAAGATTAGAAGTATTTTATACACAAAAATTGAGGTTGCTTTAATTAAGTATTTTAATTAAAAATTTGTTATTTTTGTATTGTAGTTATTTGCACTCAGGCTCTGAATATTTTGAGTAATATAATCAACATATTGTGCAGTGAAATGTTTAAAATTTAAAATAGAAAAATTGTACATACCTTTGAATTTTTCGTCGATTAATCTTGAAAATCTTTTTAGTTTACATTCTTAATTGTAAATTTTTGCTTTTTCAGAACAAGCTTATTTTTGATGTTTTATTTTCCTTTCCTATCCTTGAGCATTATTACTTATTGCAACAAATGTCAAAAAATGTTTTCCGGGGTTTCCTCAGCAGTGACACTATAGCCATCGTCAGAATGTTGGGACATTTGCCTACTACACTAAGCCTGATAAACCGAGGCAGTTTGTCTTATATTTAAAAAATTATTAAACCTTTCTAATATGCATTTTAAAACATAACTAACACATAATTAACTAAAGTATAAAACTAAAACCTAAATAAAATTTAATTGTTTATCTAACTAACATATTTATAGGTGAGAAATAATGCTAAAGCGCTAGTATGGATGCAAGCAGCAACAATACTGAGAGCATTTGACAAGTTCTCTGTGGAATTCTTCATGGCAATTTTATAATAACTATTGGGAAATAGTATTTCAAAATGTGGTCTTTCTTCTGGCTAGAAACATCTAACTCGTCCAAATATGATTGGCTTAGAAATTGCAACTGTATGTGTAGATAGTGGGCATAGTATGTCAGGAGTTCCAAGAAATTATTTCTCTTTCCTCCCAATGTTCCATAAGGGGCTTGATAGAAAAATTTGTAAACAGAGCAATTAACCTAGTTTCTGTCTATACATAGAAGTATAGTGTACAGAAAGAACTATTTAAGTTACAGAGACGAAATGTCAAATTTTTTTGAACTTGTGTATCATGCCGAAGTTTAAGAATTTTTCTTTGAGGTTTCTTTTGAAATAAAAGAATTAAAACCTGGATAATATAAAACTTTGAACTATAATGTAAATTTTAATGCTCATTTCATTGGTATACATTGATAGTAATATTACTTAATTAAATTTTGAATGTAACAAAGTAAAATCTTGTGACATGCGCAGTACAGGGGTGCCCATAATTATAGGGTTAAACTGTAGAATATAGAGACAACACTGACATTGATATCAACAATTATACTTGAATCCTTTTTCCACAAAACCAGTGTGTATATTTATACTTCCAAAAAATTTTTGTTGGTGATGTTTTGTCATGTTTAATGAAACATCAAAGGCTAATGTAGGCTAATCTTGAGCATGCTTGAAGATTCATGTAATTGTATTAAATTATTCTAGCAAACAGAATTTTAGTTGGCTTAGATGTAGATTAGAAATCTACAAAATTTAATGTTTTAGTAAAAAATGAGCTATAATTCTAAATACATACAAAAGTATATTTTAAATGTAATTTAAATGTGAGGTGTATAAAAGTACTGAAGTTGTAGTATAAATTTCAAATATTTATGGCATAAATTGCACTGGATGATATAACCAATTTTTTTATTACTTTATCTTTGCTGATACAATAATTTGCCTGTTCAAACATTTTCTAAATATTAATCATTTTCTATATGTTTGAAGTTTGGCTTAAAAGATGTGAAATTGTTCAAATTCTGTATGTTACTTTATACAAAAAAATTTTAAGTGAAATGTTATAGTTTGCACCGTAATTGCATACAACTTTAATCTTCAAGGTAGATTTTGAATTTTTGGGTGTGTATAAGTGATGAACATTGTTATCGTTAATTCAAATCTAATCAGTTGCAAAGTAGAATTTGAAAATACTCTTTTTATAGCTGAGTTTTAGATTTTATTCCCCACAAAATTGCTTAAAGGCAGAATGATAAAGTTGTGCAGGTGTATGTATATAAAAAATGTGTAACATTTATCTCTGTTTTGTATTACAGATCCTTTTGTGATTTCATCTATTTGATGCAAAAGAAGCCAATTTTAACTTTAGTTCATTTTTCATTATGGATGATACACCAAGAAGACGAACAAGGGCAAAATTTTTAAAAGCTAAAAAGCCAGTTCAGAAACAGGAAACAAAGGTAATAGAAACTCCCAGGGAGCAAGAAGTGGCTGTGTCTCCAGAAGAAACTGATGCAGTGGAAGTTGAAATTGAGCTTCCTTTGGAGGATGTAATGGACACTGGAGAAGAGAGTATTCAGGAGGAAGTGGTACGTATAGAAACGGGCTCATTGAACATATCTCCCTCACGTTCACAACATGATGAAGCTTATCCATCACATACTATGTTTTCACCAGCAAGGGATTCAACTGGTGGATCTCCCACATCAAGTTCTTTATACAGGAAAACAGCTGACTTGGTGTCTTTAAGTATCAATGTAAAGGAGAAAGTGGCAATTGAAGAAAATAATGTCAGAATCAAAAATGAAGAAAGTAGTCAAGTGGGAATAAAAGATAAAGGTGACTTGGTAAGTCAGGAACAATTGCAAGAAGAACATTCTTTATTGAAAAAGAAATGCATGGGTGGACATTTTAACATTGAAAAAGAATATGAAATCCATGGAAATGGCAAATTTTTAGAAAGAAAAGAAGAGTTAGATCATTATTCTATGAATGAAAAGGTACAGGGATTTCTTGATGTTGATGTTAAACATGAAGAGAGAGTTTTGAAAGTTGTTAGTGATTCTATCATGGAAGTGCAAGATAAGATATTTGTGGAAGAAAGTTGGAGTGAATCACTTGTGGAAAAGTCAAAAAGTGAAACAGTTGGGGAAAAAGTTCAGAATGTAACAGATGTGGAAGAAATGCAAGATGAAACAATTACAAAAAATTTGCAGAGTGAAGCCCTTATTGATGAAGTGCATAGTAATGAAGATGGGAAAGAAGTGCAAAATGAAATATCTGAGGAGGATATACGATATGAATTAATTATGGAAGCAGTACAAAGTGAGACAGTTGTGGAAGATGGGCAGAGTGAGGCAGTTGTCGAAGACATGCAGAGTGAGACAGTTGTCGAAGACTTGCAGAGTGAGGCAATTGTCAAAGACATGCAGAGTGAGGCGGTTGTCGAAGACTTGCAGAGTGAGACAGTTGTCGAAGACTTGCAGAGTGAGACAGTCGTCGAAGACTTGCAGAGTGAGACAGTCGTCGAAGACTTGCAGAGTGAGACAGTCGTCGAAGACTTGCAGAGTGAGACAGTCGTCGAAGACTTGCGGGGTGAGACAGTCGTCGAAGACTTGCGGGGTGAGACAGTCGTCGAAGACTTGCGGGGTGAGACAGTCGTCGAAGACTTGCGGGGTGAGACAGTCGTCGAAGACTTGCGGGGTGAGACAGTCGTCGAAGACTTGCAGGGTGAGACAGTCTTCGAAAAATTGCAGGGTGAGACAGTCTTCGAAAAATTGCAGAGTGGGGCAGTCGTCGAGGACGTGCAGGGTGAGACAGCTACAGAAGAAGTGCGGGGTGAAACAGTTGTCGAAGACGTGCAGGGTGGGGCAGTTGTGGAAGAATTGCAGAGTGGGGTAGTCATCGAGGACGTGCAGGGTGGGGCAGTCGTGGAAGATGTGTTGGGTGAAACAGCTACAGAAGAAGTGCGGGGTAAAACAGTTGTCGAAGACGTGCAGGGTGGGGCAGTTGTGGAAGATGTGTTGGGTGAGACAGCTACAGACGAAGTGCAGGGTGGAACAGTTGCAGGAGGTGTGGAAGTTATAAATACAGAGCATATTGTTGCTGGGGAAGAATGTTTTGTAGCTAATGTTGTATTTGGAGACAAAGAAAAACTTGATGTTTCTCTTCGTGTAGTTGAAGACATTGGAGCAACAGCTGAGGTTGGGGAGATGACTGAAGAAGAGGAAGCTCATGTTGATTCGGCTAAGCAAAAAGAAAGCACAGAACAAAGTGAAAAGCCTGCTGGTGTGTGGGATGACATTGAGAAACTTGCAGAAGTTGCCTGTTCAGAATTTCTTGATAATTCAAGTAAAAAAGAATTGGTGGCAGGTAAAGAACCAATAAATTATGAAAACAGTGAAACCCAGAGCACATCTTCCAATATTGCTAGTACTGGCTTAGACACAGCACAAATAGGTGAGCAGAAATGTAATATTGAGCAACCAGATCTTATTACTCAGAATTTAACGTCACCTTTCCAGAAAAGCATTTCAGAAAGAAAAGAGCAAAATAGTTGGAACTCAAATGATGTTAGAGCTTCAGAGCAAAAGGAAAACATTGAATCCACAGAAAGTTCAAAACTTCAGAACAACAGTGATTACTCAGTGTTTACTAAAAATGATAAAGAAAGCTTGGGCAGAAGTCAGCCCATGCCATCAGATACTCTTGGACAAACAAGTAGTGAAGAAATTAAAACCAAGAAAGTAGAGTCAGTTGAACAAATAGACAGTGAAAGAACAGAAGTGACGGAACTTGACAAATTTGAGAAAGTTAGGGAATATAGTGCAGTTGAAAAGCTAGAAAATTTTGTACGAGGAGCACCAACAACTGACAGAAGAACAATGGGAAGAACAAGAAAAAAAATTTGTAAGTATACTTGTGATTTTGAACTTACTAATATAATGACATCTAAATTTTATTACCCATATATGTGTTACTCTGTTGGCCCATAGTTTTACTTAATAAAAAAAAATAGTTGAACATATAGAACTGAAAAATATCATGTGTGTCTTGTTTTTCACATGTCAATTATGTGTGTAAATTTAAGTGGTCATAATTAATTTCTTTTCATAAGCTTCTGCATAATAAGCACGTGAATTACAACATAAAATAAATATGTACATCTTAAGAGCCCAACGTATGAAAGAACACGATGTGTATAAATGTAAAAACTACAATATAAAGATACTCCATTGGGTAACAGTCTCTATTGTGATCCTAGCTGGACTGATGAAAGCCATAATTGAATGTAAACATGTTGAAAAGCCACCCATCTTTATTCTGTCAAGTGTATCATATTTAAATAAATGTATTTGAAATATAATTTTAGTAAAACTTGGGTAATCTTGTAGTTGAAGAAATTCCAAAATGTTCCAATATTTAGAAGTGTCCAGCTTAACTTCAAAAGGTTTGTTTCTGTAAGCTTCTTAACCCTTTCCATATGGGTCAAAGGCCATGTCATTGCATTTATTGACCCGCATTCAAAATTTTATTGAACTACTATTTCATGAATTTATGTTAATAAGTTTGATTTCAAACTGTAGATTATAATTCAAATGTTAATATTATACATTACTCAATTTCTTAATTTAAAAGTATTTATTAACAAAATGCAGTTAAACATTGATTTTTGTGTGTGTCACGTGGTATGTTGAATGCAGCATTGGTTCAAATTAGATGTTTGTGGTGTCAAAATACTAAGTCTTTAGTTTCTATGAATTAGGCACTCAAATTACAATATTGACAAGCTTGAATATAAAATAAGAACCTTTTATCTTTTTATTTGCTAAGATATTGCTAATGTAATAAATCAAACACAGTGGCTTCCCACCCACCTCTTTCCATTTTTGGAAACCCTCCCTTATATACACTTACTATTATATATGACATGGATAATCAATCAAAAGCTCAAAATGTTCCCCTAGTGGCTTTCTCAGCTGTTTTAACTTCTTAGGATGCCATCTCTTTTTTTTTGAACCAAGATTTCAAGGAGGTGGTTTGTGCTCAAAATTTCATCTTTTTAAGACTGAAATACAGCTTATTTACTAAGTTTGATAAATTAGTGGAATTCTATGGTATTGATATAGTAATTTATGATTTTTTGGTTATTCAACTATATATATAAAACATTAGAAATTATTTCATTTCATATTCTCCACGTGAAAAATTTTAAAAGGCTTAGCAACTGAGTACAAAGGTCGTAACTAGAAGAGATAATT